CTGCCCCCTGCCCCATTGTGTATCCTGCTCTGTTGTGAGTGTATTTCATTGCTGTCTATGGAAGCCCTGTGTGTGAATTTCTTTGCACGTGTTCCTCTGTGATTGGAGTTTAAGTATTCCTTTTGAAGTGTTAACACCCCAATACAGTAAGTTCATATATTACACATACTGTATTTTAGAAGCAGTCCAGTGTGGCTTAAACACTTGAATCAACAGTTATACGGCTCACACTTTAACTCTATCTGAGCTCAGGCACAGTAGGACAGGAAAGTTGGAACATTTCTGCTTTACGCTGCTGCCAATAAAAACTAGCCCTACCTCGCTGGACTGAGTCATGTAAGTCCCACTGTGATGATGGAGTTCGGGCTGCACAGAGAGTTCAGGTTGGGCTGACTGCGCAGTACCACCCTGGAATGCAATGTACAGTATCTCTCTTGTATATTCCCCAGAGGTGGGGAATTTATAGCAAGCACTGCTTTGGGGAACTGTGTTAGCAGCTGAGAAACAGCAATATAAAGTAGCTTCCCTGTAACTCAGAGCTACTAGTAGAACAATGCCAGCAAAACAAAAATAGCATTTTGCTGGCTCATCTAAAGCAGCTTTAAACTGGTCAGATTTAATTAAAAGGGGTCACGTTAAATATACTGGAAGGATTTAAATTTGTGGAAGCAGCACTTAAAAAAAACATATAGCTAAACCAATTCCAAATCAGCTTGGCAAAGATCTTTGGGGGCACAACCCCTGCTACCTGTAAAACATAATTTTAATTAAGATTGTATTTAAATAAATAACTTGATATACAATGTAAAGAAAAAGATCTACAGGGTCACCTCCCCATAATCCATAAATCTGAGCTGGATAAACTGTGAGTATTTTATATGAAGGACAGAGTAGCCAATGCTTTAGATGTGGTATAAGCACTTCTCTTATAATATGTGAAGTGAGACTTGCGAATCTTTTCTATGGTTTCCTGTAAATTTCTCAAAATGGGTGAAATATGTGGGTTATACTTCAAGTGTAATAGTAGTATCAAAGGGGAAGCAAAAGTAACTTGACGTTCACCTTACTAATGTCACTGTGATGTTTGATTCAGCTTCAGTGAGTGATCCTAAATACAGTAAGTGTATTTCTGTCTCTTTGTTCTCCAGTGTCAGACGAGCCTTGTTATGATAGTCTTACTGCGTGGAAAGTTGTTAGTATGGAGTGTGGAAGTGGATCTGGCTGATGGGCCAAATCCTAATCTCCCCCTACACTCCACACAGTGGAGTGCGATCAGTGGATTAGGGAGACTAAGCTAGTCCCCTAAATGTTCCCAGTAAATTAGAGTATTAAAGTATTAAAGCCTGGTGCCTTCTTCCCAAAGCCTGGGAAGCATCGGCCTGCCCAGCTTAGGGCGGGAGGCATGATGCTTCGATGGGTTCAAGAGCTCTTCTGCCACCTTCCCAAAGTGCACCCAACTTTGGGAAGTAGACAGGAGGGCTCCAGCATCCTGTTAAAGCCCTGACACCACCTTCCTAGAGACTTCTGCCCAGCTTAGGGGAGGAAGCATGCTGCTCACGTCCGTGACGCCAGGATGTCATGCACGCAACATCCCGCACCCCACCCCCAGTCATCCTTGCAAGCTGGAGCCTCTGACTCTGCGGGCCAAATCTGACAGGTGGGCAGGGCTCCCATCACCTGACATCACAATGATGCTAAGTTACACTGTGCTTTGAAGCCCTGACAATTGTTGGAACTTGTTGGAACTGCACAGCGGGGCTTGGAGTTGCAAAGAGCCCTGCTTTAAAATTATGCCTTTTGGCCAAGTCCAGGCACCTTTTTACTTGCCCATGTGACTGGCAGGCGGACATGGTTTGGCTAAAATGACCCCATCCTGTATAGTGCATTAGGTTGTATATCTGTATGCCAAGAATGGCGAACTGGTATATGTGGTCCCCAAGGCAATTGTGCTTGATCCGTGATTGTCCTACTTTTAATCAAGGTATGGCAGAATTTTATTGCAGCCACAGTTTCACTTATAAGGAATAGAAAAACAGTTCAGTTGTAAGAAATAGGGGTATTCCGATCAGTTACGTCTTAATCTTTGATTATGTACACAATGTGCAACTGCATATATTTGTATGTTATGCAAATATATCCAGGACAAAACCAAATGTGATGCAGCTGACCCTGATCAGGATTTCCCATAGCCAACAGCAGTTTTGTGGGGATGTGGGATTATTTAGTTTGGGAAAAGAATTCAGATTAAGACACTGTACCCATCGGGGCAATTTCCCCATTATTCAAAGCAGTTGTGGGGATGTGCTAATTAATGAAAGCAAAAAAAGTGGGTGATCATGGATGTCCTACATCACATCTGCTTTGGCCCCAAGCATGTGTACAGATGTGGCACCAAATTTATTAAAGAATCTGACTGTGCTTGAGAAGGTCAGTTTGTACACAGCAGCTTTCAAGTGTGTAGAACTTGGCTACTGTCCTAATGTTCATACGTTAGGAACACACTACTTTTGTGTGCGTGCATCCATGTGGGGGGCTGTGGATCTCTATGGATTGTGTGTTCTGAATTCTGTTAGTCCCCCGAGAAGGGGATAGTGAGGGTGTGACGTGTGGGTGTGCATTCTCAGCTGGCATCCCTAAGGGCAGGGCAGATCTTAGGGGTGTCCTCTGCACAATGCATCAAGCCTGGGTGGCCGTGGACTTTGCTGTCCCTTCCAAGTACACGCCTTAGGTTAAGAAGAGCATTGTTCTTTTGGGTGGCCATGTACTTTTGACTCCTCAGAGAACAGTAATCTAATTTGTTCCACTTCCCGACCAATCCTTTCCCTAGCAGGTAACATTCTCATTTTTCTTTTTTTGTGACAGCCTACACATCCTGTGCAGGGTCAAACCTCACCCTCTTTTTAAGCTTGACTGTGTTTAAAATGCAAATAAACAGCACTTCCCAAACTCTGTCCTACTCTCTCCTTTGGATCATTTAAACACAAATACTTTTGCTAGGACAGTCCCGTTGTGATATTTGTTTCCTCCATTTAATTACCTCCAGCTGATGGACTCCCTCCAGGCTTTGTATTAATGACAACTATGTAGGATGGGGAGGTACCACCCGACTTTGATCTAGAAGTGACTAATAACAACTTATCTTCCTCTTTCCTTCCAGCCCAGCCGCCTTGTGTGGTTTATTGACCATTCCACGACACTTTCATTTGTAACCATTTCTTCCTGCTCTTATGTCTGGAATGTAGGACAATAATCATTGAAGGCTACAGAGACTTGCATTCCCTTCAGAGCTGAATGTTGGAACGAGCCTTGCAGACTAGTTTAAAGATTGTGAAGCCTTGCCAAGGTTGGAGGCTGTAACTTGAAACATCCTTATGCCTTGCCTGTGCAGCTTTACTAAAATGTATTTCAGGTTGCAGCCATTATGAAAACAGCCTCCTATTATCAAGCATAATAGTAGTCTTGTCTAAATTTAACTTCGTTTTCTGAATTCTGGCATACGCCAAGGGCATGCAATTAAATTTCATGAAGGTCCATAAAAATCACAACAGCAGTAGCGGAGGGTGTGTGTCTGGAATCTGGTTGCTTTCTCCTGAACACAAGAGCACTTTCTCTTTTATATCACAGCTGAGTGGGTGGCCTATAAAACATGGAGTGGAGGTCCAGTTATGGACCTCAGACCACAAATGGTTTAAAGTCCACCTCTGCTCTAAACCTTCTCTTTTTTCAAAACTACCGAAACAGCTCTTCTTTGTCATAAAACGTTGTTCCCATACACCTTTATGTCCCTTATGAACGCATTTCAAAGTAACTGTAAGGTAGATGTTGAGCTAACTTCACACAAATGTTGTCTAGTAGACAGAATGCTGATGCACGAAATCTGCGAAATCTCTATGTAACCATGAACTGGAGGCATGACCTTGGAAAACTCGTTCCCTGGCAGGTCATCATCTATCTGTTGCAATGGTACATATTTATTACCTAGCTCAGTTTTTTTGGAAGCATTAAGAATACAAGGCAAGATCCTGTGAGTGCCATGCAACCTTACTCAAAAGCCTCACGGAGTTAAGCGGGGAACGCTGCCGGCACACACACTTAATTCCAATTTGTACCTATCAGGTTGACAAAGTATTGCCCTTTTTATTCAGAAAATGGATCTTGCATCTTTACTAGTTCCTACTCCATTTTGAACGCTAAGAGCAAATGCTGCTTTGGGAAGTGCAAATGATGGCCACCAACTTGGATGGCTTTAAAAGGAGTATAAATAATAAAATCATCATCACCACCATTAGTATTATGGAATAGACCGTCCCTAATTTCATTGGATAAACGCTTCTTCCAGCAAAATATTAAAATGCAATAATTCATCAAATATTAAATTCCTCAAATATTTTGGGAACTTCCAGGTAGCTGTAAAAGTTCTGAACAGTTCCCTAAAGTTTTTAAAAGTGAAAATACTTATTTTTTAATTTTTTTTAGGAGTTATTTAATCAGATGCAACACTAAAACATCATTACAGTGTCGTGACAATCCACATTACCATCTGCTCAATTTTGCACTCTCCCCACAACAAAACCAATACTTAAAAACGAGAGAGAGAGAGAGAGAGAGAGAGAGAGAGAGAGAGAGACCCAACCCATATGTCAGCACCTGCCAGACAGCTACACCCTAAAAATGCTTCTTTGTAAAACCAACTCGGAACACCCCCAGCAAACAATATTTTCAATCATGGAATCTTTTTTAAAATACAAGGAATTTCCTGTCCTCATCTCATCTCATCTCATCTCATCTCATCCTCAGAAGCCTCAAGTCTTTTGTTGCTGTTGGTACAATGGATGCTTTTCTAGATTTTATGGAAAGCAATAGTAACAACTTTCTGTACACATCCAATCACTGAACGTCGCTTCCAATTCCTTATTTGCATATGTGGACCTGAGTGAAAACTATCTACAGTATCCCCCTGCTGGCCCAGGGTGAGAACTTCAGTACATAACAGTACTCATTCAGCTCCTTGAGATCCTCTGCTTCTCTATTAACGCTTGCTGCCGAGAAAGCTCATCGAGAAACTTGGTCTCTTCTTCGTCTAGGCCTCTGACCATGTTTTTGAACTTGAACTGCTCCTCAAACTCCTGCTGCTTCTTGTCGTTCCGCTCCTGGAGCCTTTCATAGTCTTCAGGGTCTTCAGATTTCCAAACGTTCTCCCATTCTTCCTGCCTTCGCTTGCGCAGCTCTTCTATTTCCACTTCAGACACAAACCTTTTGTTACTCACAAGGTTGGCACTACCTTCTCCATCCATTGTGGAGCAGCCTCTCCGCCATGGACCCCTCCTTCAAGTGAAAATACTTATGAGTAGTAATGTTACATATTGGGTGACTTTTCATTTCGGGGTGACCTTTGTTCACAGCTGAGGAGAATTAGACCCCTTTTCAGTGTTTCTAAGCCAAAGTTCACCCCTTTATGAGACTGGAAATCAGGCTATTTTTTGGGGGGTGGGGAGTCTAAAAGTTATAACCCTAGTGTGTATATGCAGATATACTTTATCCAGCAGGTAAGGCTGTTTTCCAAACTTTTCATGTTTTTGACAGACTTTTTAGACATGCACCATTTTGCAACGCAGGAATTCAGGTTTTACAAGCCAATCGGAGGTTAGAAACTAACTCCTTATAAGAGATATGGACATAGACATAAATTGTAATTTCGAAATGTGTGGGGACACACCTAGTAACACTGTTCGGAAAGCTCTGAGGTAAGGAATTGTTCAAGGGGGAGGAAGTTAAAAACACCACGGAAAACGATAGGGGAAGTCGAAAAAGAACCAAATGAAAATTTATTACATTTTGGAGTGTATATGTGAAAATTCTTGAAATTGTATAGAATATAACAACTTTTTTCCCCAAATCCCTCTCAGTGTAAATTGGGCTTATTTCCAAACAGAACACCAAAAAAAATTCTGTCACAAGCGTCTCTTCAGAGGCAACAGAAGCTGCGAAAGCACAGACTGAGGAGACGCACAGGAAAAAGAGCGGGAGTCTGAGGCGCGAAAACTTGCGCATGTGCTGTAGCGACGCAGGGACATTAAAAAAAGAGAGAAAGCACTTCCCCCTTCCGCTCCCCCCCATCCCCGCTCAGCAGCCGTTAAACGGGCGATGCGGGACGCGGCGTGCTTTTTCCTGTGGTTCCTATCGCCGCCCGCCCTCCCTCCCGCTCTGGAGAAACACATTTCGAAAGCAAGCAAAAGCGGGCAGAAGAAGGACGCGAAGGGGAGGCGGGACGACGAAGAGGAGGAGGCGGGGCTTCGGCGGAGCCCTTCGTCTCATTGGTTCGCAGGCGCGCTTTCGATTTTCAGTGGCGCGCGAGGCGAAGGTTCATCTTTGTAGCCTCCCCCCCAACTGCCGCTCCCCCCCCCCCCACAATTAAGGGTTTTCTCCTCAGCATGGCTTCTTCTTCCAAAGAGGGGAGGAAGAGTCCGGCTCCGGCCGCGTCAGCATCGTCGCGGGTCTTGGCCCTGGAGGAAGAAGTGCGGGGCCTGACGGAGGAGCTGAGCCAGTGCCAGGTGGGTACGGGGGCGGAGGTGGAGGAAGGGGCGCAGGGCGTCGGGGGCCGGGGGAGAGGAGGGCCTCCCTCACTCTTAAACCCATCATCCACTCGGCAGGTAGGCAGCAGGGGGAAATATCGCAGCTTTGTGTGGAGTGGGGAGGGGTCCCCCAGAGGTCATCCAGTCCAACCCCAGCCCCCCGACCAGGCAGGAGTCTCAGCTAAAGCATCCCTGACAGACGGACATCCAACCTCTGCTTAAAAACCTCCAGGGAAGGAGAGTCACGGAATCATAGCATTCTGGCGTGGGGAGGGGTTCCCCAGGGGTCATCCAGCCCAACCCCCCCACCCCTGTGTGCCAGGCAGGAATCTCAGCTAAAGCATCCCTGATCGACAGCTCTCCAACCTTTGAATTTGTTCGTTCCAGACTGGAGTTTATATGATAACAACAATAACAATTTATTATTTATGCCCCACCCATCTGACTGGGTTTCCCCAACCACTCTGGGCGGCTCTCAACAGAATATTAAACAGAATAAAACATCAAACATTGAAAACTTTTCAGATGACTTCTAAAAGCCAGATAGTTGTTTATTTCCTTGACATCTGGTGGGAGGGCGCCACTACCGAGAAGGCCCTCTGCCTGGTCCTAGAATTTATGAGTCCTAGAATTGTAGAGTGGTAAGGGACCCCCAGGGGTTATCCAATCCAACCCCCCTGCAGTGCAGGAATCTTTCTCTCCTTGTGGGGCTTGAACCCTGGGCATGCCCCATCAGGCATGCCGTAGGAGCCACATGCTGAAGTGGGATCAGTTGTGCCCAGAGACACAAAAAAGTGAATGCAGAGCAAATACAGTGGAACCTTGGGTTGCGTACCGTCTTCCTTACGAATGCTTTGGGTAACGAGCTCCACTAACCCGGAATTAGATGCTCCTGGTAGCGAACTTTGCCCCGGGATGCGAGCAGAAATCGTGTGGCGGCAGCGGGAGGCCCCAATAGCGAAAGCGCGACTCAGGTTAAGAACGGTTTCGGGCTAAGAATGAACCTCCGGAGCGAATTAAGTTCGTAACCGGAGGTACCACTGTAGTCCCTGATGACTCAGGCAAGTAAGCCAAGCTCCACACTATAAGGAAGGGAAACAACAAGTAGTTATTGTGATGGCTTCTTTCTTCATAAGGGCCTTACGATTTTTCATATGGAAGCTGAGAAGCCTGCCATAAGTACATTTTGGTCTACAGTTTTGGTTCCATTGCTTGAGAAAATCCAGTACCAGTACCCATGCGGTCTCGTTGACTCCCCTGAATATGAACGTTACATAAGGCTTGTTCACACATTACTCCGACCACAGGTGCTGTGTTCTACACTTGCGCTTGTGTGCAAGTGTCTTCTGACTGATTTGTACACCACCACTGTTGTATACACAGATACTCCACCACTTGGTGAATGTTACATAAGAATGCTGCTAGAGCAACTTGAAAAAGTTAAATATTATTACCGTATTTTTCGCTCTATAAGACGCACCAGACCACAAGACACACCTAGTTTTTGGAGGAGGAAAACAAGAAAATAAATATTCGCTGTGCAGTGAAAGCAGCAATCCCTCTTGCTGTTCTGGCTTCTGTGATAGCCGCGCAGCCTGCATTCGCTCCATAAGACGCACACACATTTCCCCTTATTTTTAGGAGAGAAAAAGTGGGTCTTATAGAGCAAAAAATATGATAAATGCACGTGTCACAGGTATGGAACCTCATTAGTAAGTATTGATGATGGGACAACAGGTTAGCTTAGGGGGCGCATGGCAGACCAGGTAGCACACATGACTTGCTCCTCCACCTTTTCACCACTGCTCCCTGCACCTTCCATCTCACTCAGCCTAATGTTAGCTCCCTGATACAAATATGTGATACCACTTTCATATTGCAAGCTCTCTGTATGGTTGTTTAAATTCCACATTTTATTTTAGAAGTGTGTGTAAAATGCCTTCTGATATTATGTGTGACATTGCTGCCTATGACAGCCTGGTACTGCAAGTCAGTAATAACTCCTTTGCTGGATGAAGTAGAAATTCTAGCTGGTGAAACATATTCTCAAAGGGCAGCTAGATGCATCTAAGAATCTCAAATGCAGTGTTTGATGATGATCATCCCCTATTTTATTTCATAGGCAGAGGTCACCTTTCTCTGAACATGCATCTTCTGTTTTAAGCTATCATGACTAATAGCCATTGATGCATCTGTGAATTAAAAAAGCCAATCTTGTGGCTATTGCTTCATTGTGTGTCATTGAATTCCTTACATTATTTATGCATTGCATGTAGTCTTCTTTTGTGTTTGTGTTCCCTGAATCTGCTGCCCAGTTACTCCCCTCTCTGTTTCTCCTCCTTTCTCCCAATTGCCACCAATACGAGGAAAATTAACTATGTCAGATCCCGGCCTGATCTGTGGATATGTCAGGATAATGTTGGGTCTTTGGATCCTCTGAATCTTAGGCTGCCTTGCCTTGTCCTTCCCTGCAACCTGTAGAAGTCCACTAGTGGCACATCCTCTCTCACGGCACAGTGGCATTTATGCCACTCCCCTCAGCTGGCCTCATAGAATTGTAGAGTTGGAAGGGACCCCAAGGGCCATCTAGTTCAACCCCTGCAATGCAGGAATCCTGCCCACAGCTGTCCCTGGTTGGGTTCAAACCACCAACCTTCTGGTTAACAGCCAGACACACCGACCCATTGTGCCACTGGGGGCTCCTTCATCTAAGTCTTTTTTGGGGTATATTTTCCAATTCTCTGACAATTCTCTCCTTTCAGTGAGCTTTCTGCTATGCCCTTAAAGACCTACTTTCAGGGTATGCACAGCCATCAGAATTTATGTGCGTCACTTTTTGCACTTACTGTTTTTCAGTCTTATTTGCCATTCTGTTGGCCAATCCAGCAGTTTGGAGAAATCCTTTTTCAAACTTTCCAGTATCTGTACTACCCTGAATAATTGGTGTCATCGGCAAACCTGGCTACTTTACTGTTCTCCCTTGACTCCAGATCATTTATGAATAAGTTAAATAGCACCAGTCCCAATACAGATCCTTAGGGGACCCCCTGTTTTCTACGAATTTATCTGGGACAGATGTTAGGCTGACTGGTCTGTAATTATGTGGATCCCCCCTGGATCCTTTTTAAAAAATTGATGCTGCATTGGCTACCTTCCAGTCCTTTTCTAAGAAGATTTATTTTAGTGATAAGTTGCATATTTTTGTTAAAAGATCAGCAGTTTCACATATGAGCTCTTTAGGAACTCTTGGGTGAATGCCATCCAGCCCTGGTGACTTATTTTTAACTTGTCATTTAGTTCTAAACCAGCTTCCTTTGTCACCTCCAATTGACACAGTTCATTGGAGTGGTTGTTCAAAAGTAGGAATCTCTTCCAGCATCTTCAGTAAGGACCGATGAAAATAATCCGTTGAGCTCTGACTTGCAGATAAGACCACAAGAGATACAATGCTGCCTCCTTCAAAAAGCTTTCATTAGTAATTTTTGGCATGCTATTTACCGCAATTCTGGTTTAGAAAAGCTTCTGCGTGGTTGTTTGAAGGATATACTTATTCTTCACAGGCAGCTAGATGAGTGGCTATGTGCAAACATGTGATTTACCTTTCTATAATTTCCCTGTTTCCTTACATCCTGCTATTGTACCTTTGTCTTCTTGTATCTGGTATACTGGAAAGCAACCACAGCTCAGTGACAGAACATATGCTTTGGATGCAGAAGTTCCTACCTTCATGCCCATCATCTCCAGTTAAAGGATCTCAAGAAGCAAGTCCTGTTCCTATAGGGAAGATACACAGCTGCCTGTCAGAATAGACAATATTTGGCTAGGCAGATCCAACAGTCTTCAGATGTTCAGGGTTTACATGCTTCTGATCTACTCAAGTATTTATTATTCATTTTTAAAACATGTGTCATAGTATCTTAAGGCTGCAACCCTATAAAGTGGTATCTTGGTTTACAAACTTAATCCATTCCGGAAGTCCGTTCTTAAACCAAAGTGTTCTTAAACCAAGGAGTGCTTTCCCATTGCAGGGGGGGACTCGATTTACAAATGGAATACACTCAACAGAATGTGTTCCGCTTCCAAGGTAGAGTTCTCAAACCAAAACACCTACTTCCGGGTTTGCAGTGTTCTTAATCCAAGTTGTTCATAAACTATGCTGTTCTTAAACCAAAGTACCACTGTAGGGGCATACTTTTATTAGGCCAACCTGGCACTGGCGCTGTGCTCTTGTGGGTGTCATGTGACTTGCATAGGTGCACGGCCCTGAAAATGCGTGGCCCTCTTTTGCCTTGGGACATGTTGGAGGATATGGTGACACCATTTACATAACAAAAACTACCATAGAAATATCAACATTTTCAAAAGTAAGAGGTCCATGGCTTGGCTTTTTGAAAAGTGGGAACCTTTGGGCTAGTTACTAGTACATTACCAGTAGCCTTCAAAAAAAGTGCATTATGGATTAAATACAAACAAATTGACCCTGGTGTTCAGGCTCTGTACAATGATGAATATTCAGCTATCCCCTGAAACATGCATGTTCTCTTTCTGAAACAGCTGAACATCAAGCCTGAACCCACTGGGAGTGTTATTTGTCTTTGATGCTACATGTTTGCAAATGCAAGCTTTAAAAATATGGAAACTTTGATACAAAATTGATGTCAACAAGGACCACCTCAGCAGTGAGATCATAAACTCTTCAGTGCTCATAATTCTTTAACATTTTTATGAAAAGCTGGTTGAAATTTGAAGTAGTTTATTCTATCTGTACACCATTGTCACTTGCCAGACGGTGGCAAAGCACCTGCAATATTTTTCTTCATTCCTCTTCTCCCAAAACACAGATATATACAATACGATTATCGGTTTTGAATAGTTTTCATTTGGTTAGGGCCAGGGTCCTTAGAGTTGAAAGCTACTTTTTTTTACCATGACTGCTCCTCCTATTTCCTTTTTCTTCTTCTCCTTAGTATTTCAGATATTTTCAGTATGTTGCCAAGACCTGTGGAATATTGTCATTTGTCATTTCTGAGCCTATTCAAGGAATTATATGCTTGGAAGGGTGTGGGACAGAAGTGGCTTTCTCCAACACTTGTGAGGAAAGGGTTAGTCCCAAATTATTAACCTGACTTTCTCATATTGATGGAATGAGTTTTGTCTTTAAATTTCACTTTTCCTCCAAGGAGCACAAGTTGGCATACACAGTGTGACACCCAGTCCCCAATTTAATTCTTGAAAAAGTTCTGTGAAGTGTTAAACCAATAGAAGCTTATTTTCTGAGTTTCTAATCCTATTGTTATAAGGTAACGATGAGCGATGGGCATTCCCCTCCCTCTCTTCCTATTGATGCTTTCTCCCCCATCCAGAAAATACCCCAATGCTCTAGAGCAGAATTTGGGTGCTACAAGAGGGAAAAAGGAAAAGGAAGCCCTGTTGCTTGAGCAGAAGTTTGTTGTGCAATTGAATATCGCCCATCATTTAGCACAATCCTAAGTGTGGTGCTGTGGGTTAAACCACAGAGCCTAGGACTTGCCGATCAGTAGGTCGGCGGTTCAGATCCCTGCGATGGGGTGAGCTTCCGTTGCTTGGTCCCTGCTCCTGCCAACCTAACAGTTCGAAAGCACGTCAAAGTGCAAGTAGATAAATAGGTACCGCTCCGGCGGGAAGGTAAACGGCGTTTCCATGCACTGCTCTGGTTTGCCAGAAGCGGCTTAGTCATGCTGGCCACGTGACCTGGAAGCTGTCTGCGGACAAACGCCGGCTCCCTCGGCCTATAGAGCGAGATGAGCGCCGCAACCCCAGAGTCGGTCACGACTGGACCTAATGGTCAGGGGTCCCTTTACCTTTACTCTTTAAGTACGTAGGATTGTTTCACATAGTTCCTAAAGTGATTGTTGTCTTTAACCCTAGGTTTTGCAGCTATAGTGGATTGAGATCTATGAGGCTTATCAGTGGTTCTATCAGTGGCTTATCACCAAAGCTGTGGCTCTCTATAGATCCTAATGCAGATTTTCTGCCTCTTGAATTAGTTGTCTGATAAATGATGTTCCAACACTGCAATGAGTTACAGAGTGCTTAACAGTTAAATTTTCTCTATTTAGCCACATCAACTCTCAAAAGAATGTGCCAAGTATATATGTTTGGCTATGCTATCTGTATCCTGGGATTTCACAGAAATTCTACATTGAAAACAGCTTTGAAATTTACAGACAGATGAACACTATGCAAATGCTGAGCATCATTAGGAAGCAAGGAACAATAAAAGATTCCCATCAGTCCAATGGATGTTCTGACCGTTAGAATGCACTCCATTCCCTGAACCAGTGATCAAATGCAGAAATCCTGATTTCTCAAGTTTTGCTCACCTAGAAGATAGCTGTGTTAACCCATAGGGATGTATGTAGTTTTGGTATTCTATGTATTTTTTCACTAGGTTTCATTTGTTCATGCTGAGTTCTCTGAAACAGTAATTCATTGAGGGTACCCAATCCACATCTTTATTCAAATATTTATAGCCTATCTTAATAGCTAAAGTGAACTCTCAAGAAAATAGAAACAAAATGACAACCCCAAAACATATCCCAGTAAGTGCCCTAATCTGGGTCAGCCCAGCTGATAGCTAGCAGACCCAAGATCCAAGATATGGGGAGGCCCTGCCAGTGTGTGGAAGCACTAGGGCAACTTTGGTTAATTTTAACCATGATTTTTTTTTGGGGGGGGACAACCTCAAACCATGGTGTAACCTATTTCTCTAAGCTATAGTAGAGACTTAGCATAGTTTTGATCCAGGCATGACAATAATCCATTGTTAATTCTCAACAGAATTAAAAGCATCCCACAAGCTTCTTTTTGGCCACTTTTGAGAATAGGATGCTTGCTGGATTAAATGGGCCTGTGGCTTGATCCAGCAGGGCACTGCTTATGTTCTGGTGTCCTTGCTCCTGTGCCAGCGGAGGAGAGGAGAAGGGGAAGTGAATGAATGCGAGCCTTGTGCAGATAAACTACAAGCTATGGCTTAGTGTTTTGTCCAGACCAATTCAAAACACAGGCCACTTCCCACTTACACAGGGGTTAAGTTCCGGGCCCCCACGCACATAAGTGAAATGGCGTAAAGTTGGGAGCACCCTCTAAACATGTTTTAAGTGCCCTCTCTGCCACGCTTTCTTCAATCCATATCAAAAATACTGTATCCAAAAATATGTGCAACTATAATTGGAGCTCTGGGGCTGGCAGGAGGGTGGAAGATCAATGGGAAAGCGGTTGCTGCTGCTGCTGCTGCACTACCCTGCACATCATCTGTTAGGAAGGGAAGCTGAGCAGCGTAAACAAGCCCCCCTGTGCCTCTGGTCTCTTTGGGGCTTCATCCGCCCTCACCAACATCCTCTTTGAGCTCCAGGGAGGGTCTTATGAGCTACGAGGACTCTCCAGCTCTCTCCCACCATTTCCAGGTTTGAAGTATTTCCTAATGCCATGCATATACACGGTCACAAGTGAGTAGAATGTGCATCAATGGGAGGGTGGCTGTATAAGAATAGCCCGTGGCCCACCCAGTCCAGCAGCAAGTTCTCATGGTGTTCAACCAGGTGCCCACAGGAGGTCTGTAAGCAGGGCCTGAGCTCAACAGCATACTCCCCTTGCTTGAGTTCCAGCCACTGGTATTCAGAAGTATAGGCATCATGGTCAGTAGCTATGGATAGCCTTAT